CCTTAAGCTGTACTTCCTTGTTTCCCATGCATTACCCGTTTGCTTCACACATCCACCCCTCTGCAAATTTCCACAAGACATTAAAAACCTGCAGATTTAAAAAGTTGCATTAAGTGTGCTGTAGAGAGATTAAAAAAAAAAGAGAAGAGCAAAGGAAATGAGAACACACGGACCCAATAAAGATTTGTACGATCTAAGCCCTCCACCAAGAATCCCAAAGATTCAGCTTCTTGGAAATGATTGACAGGTGCAGGAATAGCATTTTCTCTGTTGCTCGTGCATTCCCACCTTTTCTTAACTATATTTTTGGTATAATATTTGTCCAGTTCCACACGATGTTTGAATACAGCCCTAGATGAGGATAACCGTTTCTTTCTGAGAGAAGGAAGCCTCTCACAGATTCCTCCTGGTGTCTTGTTCTCCCATGATCCAACAGAAGATTGAGTTCCAAGATGTCTTGCTGAACAAATTAAAAGTTGTCCATGAAAGTGCAAATGCAATGACCAAAACATTACTGTTAAAATCCTGCAGCTGAGCTTCCGAAAACTGCAGTGGGTTTTGTTTTGTTTTGTTTTGTTTTGTTGTTGTTGCGTGTCTCTGCTAAAAACAGAAAATGAAAACAGTCTGAAAAGCAACGTCACATTGCTACGGGATGCTGCTGCTGCTGCTGCGGGTCTTCAAGTTCCTTGGCCTTTTTCAATTCTTTCACTCTGAAAAAACAAGAGACTGCATTGTAGTGTCACCACTTCCAAAGGAAGAAAGGCTCCTCTAACCATCCCTTCTACTATGAAGCACACCCCAAGGCATGGCAGAGAGTCAATGGCAAAAAAAAAAAGAAAAAAGAAAAAGAAAAAAGCCTTTGTTAGAGACTTGGGAGACGCAGGGGACCTCTGAACTGCTAGAAAATAAGAAAAAGATACTGAGAAGGAAGAAATGTTTTACAGACTAATGATTCTATGTTTATGAATACTCTTCCTTTCATTAAGCGCTGCTTTGAGTTCACATTCTAGGCACACAACAAAACCAGATTCCATTCTGTTACATCAGGTAGGAGGATAATGTATTGAAACTGGAAAAACAGAACCAGCAGCTCTTCCAACTGGTTTGGTTGATTGACAGCAATATCTCAAAATCCCATGAAGTTGTCCTACATAGTTACATAAGTTAGGGAATTGAATAGACACAGTTTATTCAGCTTTTATGTACCTAGATGTACCACTGAACTAATCTTCAGTGATGGAATTTTTCTGATTTTGTTAAAATCTTGAATCTGGTCACATCATTGCATAATCTTATTTTTTGGTGTTTATTATAGGTAAACATCACTTAGCACAGTGTCAGGGCTTTAATAAATCAAATGGAATTGAATTTGTGTCTTGCTTTAAATGTATATAACCTTGCAATACTATCTTACCTCTAACAGATGGATTCCCAAAATTCTCACAAAAAATAATTTTCAGATGAAACATTTTAAATATATGAGTATTATTGAAAGAAATTCAGTAGTGAATCTTTTGTAAAAGTAAAGATTCCTTTCGAAATTTGCATTGTTAACTCCTAATTTACTACTTTGCAATTGCCTCTCAGGGCCTCAGTTTCCTCATCAATAAAATGGGGTTGGATTAAATGGTTTCTAAGGTCCTTTCCAGCTCTAATGTTTGATTCTAAATTTGGATTTTTGTGCATATGCTTTTCTTGAACTGGAGACATACCTATATGTTACAGAAGGAAAAGCTGAGATTTTGCTAATTAGTAGGAACTTTTTTTTTCTATGATCTATTAGCCTTTATTATTCTGTTTCTCATACTTAAAGATACCTTAGTCATTTCTCCCAGAGCTCACAGATAGGTAACAACAAAATAGTAAAGAACAGTACCAGAGTAACTGTCTTCAAATAACAAATGTTTCTTAAAAGTATGTTAATTGAATTTTAGAAATGGAATAATTTAAAATACACAGGGAAGCTCACCATTTAGAATAATCCTATGATTAGTCCTTCACAAGGTGAATAATCATGTAATTTGCCAGTTTTTTGTTTTTTTTTTAATCCTAGGTTTGCTTAGAGGACAACTGAACGGGTGATCACTTATCAGAAATGTACTAGGATTTTAAAGTGATGCTTTATATTTGTTTTTTTATAATTTAAATGGCATAGAAGTAGTTCTTTCAGACCTGTGGTTAATCAAAGAGGGGAAAGGAAAGAGAGGGTAGAAAAGAAAGAAGATGCTAGTAATATGGTCGTGTAATCTGCAATGGAACTATGTGTGTGGATCTATTTGAGTGCCAGGTTTTTCCAAGAGGAAGTATTATTTAGAAACACATACCTAAATCTGTCTGTTAAAATTCTACTCTTAGTGTAGGCTCTTAAAAGGGTATCAGCAGAGCACCAAATCTGACAGGTCCCACCAAACCCGAAAGGCTTTGAAGAACAACAGCAGACTGACCATATCTGTTGTTAGATGACCAGCTTAGCCAAGGTTATAGAAGTTCATGACCCCAGATGTTTGACCCCAAAGACACTCTAGTAAGATGTAGCAGGATTGTAATCTGCATCAGTGGACAAAGTATCCACATTGATAAGACTGTAGCTCTGTAGGTATTGAAATAGAGTTAAATCAATAAATGGAAGATTTGTATTTGCTTAGTACAAGAGCACACTGTACCTCCTGCTCAAATTTTGAAACTGGTGACTACTAAGTTGTTCAGAAATCACAGGATATTTAATTCAATTTGTGGCTTGTTATCTCACATTTGTATAACTCTTAAAGCTGTACAAATGCTTTATTTGTAATATTCCTGGGAGGTAGTACATATATTGACTCCATTATTACAGATGAAGAAACTAAGGCTTAGGGAGGGTGACTTGCATATAGTCACACACTGAATAAATGTCACAACCAGAATTCAAACCCAGGTCTCCTGGTTCCAAGTGCAGTGGCCTTTCCATCATGCCACACTCTTTTCCCAACAGAGTGGCAGATGGGATAGGGTTACTACAAAGAAAAGACATTGTGAAAATTTACAGCACAGCTGTGATATTTTTGACTTCCCTCACAGATCTCTAAAATGGCTAATGTGGGAATCTTCTTCTCTAAGTGACTTTGGAAGGTGAATTGTTAAAATAGGTGTTGTAGAATGGAAAAATTGGGCAAATCAGCCCTTTTCTATCCCATATTTTTTTCCTAAAATATTTTGAGTTACAGTTCTAAGAATAACAGTTTTTTTTTTATTTAAAAACTATTCAACTCATTCTTAAAGTAGTTTCGAACATTCGATCCTTGAGGTTTCAAGGGAGTTTAGGGAAACTAACTTAACATAGGGTATTGACTATTAATTTACTGAACTCTCCTTAGATTTCCAAAAGGCATTTGGAACTCGAAATACATTTTCTTAACTCATTGAACAGGAGCTTAATTTAGGTGTAAGTTTTTACACGCTATTTTTGCTTTTCTCTAATGATGTGTCCATATGACAATGAAACAGCCAGCCAATTCAGTGGTGCACACTTCAGTCAAAGTGTATCAAATAGACAAAAACAAAGTTTTGCCTGGATTCTTCTATTTTGTAACTGATTGTCTAAAAGTTCCAGCAGGGAATTATCACTATAAATAGTCATTATGGGTCAATGCCGTTTGTGAAAGACTTGTGTTTGTCCTTCATTCTGGAAGAGGACCATGACATCACGGACATGATGACATGACTTGAAATTGACATTGATTTGAGTGAGGGAGAGCTGTGTCAGGTCACCAGCCTCACTTTCTCCTCTAGAGCCATCTGGGTTCAGTGGCCAGATATTGATCAGGATGACTGAAGATGGCCCAGGATGCAGTGGGAGACACTGCCTCTTTTAAGCTAAGGTCTTTTTCAGATTCTCACTTTGAGTGAGGCAACACCCATTCAATGAATAGGCCTCTTTAGGAATTGAGTCAAGGGATGGCCTCTTTAATAATAATAATAATAATACTAATAATAAAAAATCAAAACTGGGAGGGGAAGACCCTCAGGGTTGCTGGCTAAAAGAGAAATAGTTCCTATTTACATTCCCTCTGACCCAGGAGGGCCCAAAAAACAACCAGTAAGTGGTGCTTGGGCAGGGATCTCTTGTCCAATCCATGAGCTCCAGAATGAATTGGGTTTGAGGCTTGGTCTTTGAGAGAGAGAGAGCTAGCCAGTAAATGCCAAGTGAACTAGGCAGCTTTCAGCCATCAAAATTTACTTTCCTTTGGGCAGAACACCCTCAGGGAAAGGAAAGGAGAGAAGAGGAGATTTATTAATGAGCCAAATATCCCAATTCATTTACGGAGATAGAGCCCATTGTCATTGCTTTCACAACTGCATTCCAGCAGAATTCTGTTGTTGAAACAGAACCAACAGTACTCTTGTGTCATGTGGCCTTCCTCAAGATCTTGAACATTACAAACATTATATTACAAGTCTTTGGGTAAGGGTTAAAGGCAACATGGGTTACTTTTCCGAACTGTACTATTACTGCAAACAGCAGGACAACTGAACCAGGAAAGAGCCTACCCTTTGTAAGCTTTTTGGCCCTTGACCCGGCATGCTAGCTTTGAGTCAGGGCAATGGCTTAGGATAGCAAGACTTTTGAAGCTGTAACCATTTTCTCAAACTTCCCAAGTGTTCTAATCTGAAAATGATAATGCAGTTGAGATTTTGTCACAGTCTTATCCGACAATGTTGCATCATAATGTACTGAGGTGATGTAGTAAGCAACAGCACTGAAAGCCAGCAAAAAACCCACGTGGTGTTACTTCTGTCAGACGTCCCATGATACTTATGAACAAATGGAGAAGGCCTAGTTAAGAAACTTGGAGCAAACAATGGCTTCATGGTTTAAGCATAAGGCAAAGCTGCTTCATTATATCTACTCAGTAATGCTCAGCCAGAGAAATGTTTAATGAGTCAGTGAGTTTCAGCAGATAGGTTCTTGCAATGCTGGACGTCAGTATATGTAGGGCAGCCATACATGGCTTCCTAGTCAGTTACCTGTTGCTCTTAGAGCTGAAATGGCTTGTGGGAAATTTAGGAAAAGGGAGATCTTGCCATTTTCCAGAAATCTCATTTGGGTTGCAAAAAAAAGACAGAAAGGCCCAATAAGAATGACACCCCAGAGCATGCTGTCTGCAATTTAACACACACCTCTGTGTTCCAAAAATATTCAGTCCCTGCAAGAGGTAAGCGAAACAAAATTACTTTGGAGATTTAATTGCACCCATGATGACATATCCCACATTCAGTTTTTGCTCTTTATTCAGTAAGTTGGGCCACTGAGAATCTGTTAATATGCCTCTTGTTATGTCCCAAATGTAATTATGGTAAGAATGGTGACATAACTAGTATGTCAGCTTAGATTACTGTTTACTCATCTCATTATGTATTTTTTACAGATATTGTTAAAGAATTGTCACAGAGAGAAATGGATGCATACGTTAGAAGATTAATCCACTGGGTTTGGGAAATGACCTCTTGAGGATAGTTTCTCTGACTGGTCAAGTGTAGAAATAAATACTTACCATCGTGGATGGCAGCATCTGGCACAGATAGATACATTTTCAGAACCAAGGTCAAGCATAGGGAAAGCTTTGGTGTTTTTAAAACCATGATCAAAATGCATTTCAATTCCCGCCCCACCCTGCTGCAACCTGTTGCTGGGACTTGCTGCATATGGTCCTTTTGGACTTTTGGACCCACCTTTGTTGAAAATCCATCAGGAAAACTAGGCTAACAGTTCACAGGGTTGGTTCAAATAATCCTGTAATCCCTGCTGCTACAACATTAAGGGAAGACAGGAATTGGTTTGGTAATTGCTTTTCAGAGAAAGTGGTCTTTAGGATTGTTTACTTGTGAGTACTTCCTAATACCAGAAAAATTTCTGAAGGGATATGTGTTGGAGGGAAAAGGAATAGGAAAATGATTTCTCTCTCTAGAAAAGGAGAGGTATTATTTTTCAGGCCAACTGCAGCCTCAATACATTCAGGATAAAGATGGCTGTGTAATGTAGACTATATTCACTCTTATTTCCCCCACTAGAAGGGGAATCTTGTTTTTTCCTGCTATGGGTCTGTGAATTAGTGACTGTATAAAAATTAGAACAAGATGCTTAAACTCTAACTGGATGAGACATCTACAGATGTCTTAGACATCTGTAAACCCTTTAGGTAACTCTTGCTCCAACCCAACACTTCCTGCTTAAAATAATTTACTGAATTTAGCATACTTTCTAAGATAAACTTTTTAAAAAATAACAATAAAGTTCAATTCTTAATTTATCTGTTTAGCCTCTATATCAGATAGTAATAAAAAATAACTTTCCCTATTAGAAACATAATTTTGAGTCACTGGTTAATTAAGTTGGAAACTGAGCCATTGAAAGGGAAGGGCCAGACTGGAAAAATATGTTTGCTTAACCTTCCCATCTGAGGACTAGAAACTTAGGATGAAAATAGGATTCTTTTCTGGAGGTTCCATGCTTTTGAAGTCAGCCTTCTTGGAGCTATTATGGTGGCATTCTGGTAATGGTCAGGGACTATCTTTTATAGGTAGCCTCTGTCAACAGCACGATCTGAAGTGGTCTACCAATCAAATACCATGACATTGTATTCTTTCATATTGTTTTTCAGGATGTCAAAATTATATTTCTAATAATAGCAGATTTTACAGACTGCATTTTCAGATGAAAACTCCAGAGGTATGAATCCTTCACACAGAATGCCCTGCCTCCAACTGTAATTTTGACCTGGGAACTGTTAGCAAGATCATCTAGCCTGCTGTGATCAAGGAGAGAGGAGATCTCAGTGGTAACCAGTCTAAGCTCTGAATGTAAGTTACTCCTCAACTTACTTGCTAGGTGAAGATGACTATTCTAGAAGATATGTTAATGCTAAGATCTCCTCTACTCCTATCTCTTAAACTACCTATGGATTCCAAGTCAGGATGCTATGAAACTCCAAATTACCATGCATGAGTGTTTCTGAAACTCACAACAGAATGCAGCAGGCACTAAAGAAACTAAGGAAGGATCTTTCATTGATATTGATAATCATATCTAGAATATTCATTCTTAAAAAGAGTTAACATACCAGAGACCAGCAAGCTTCAAAAATGCATAAGCAACCACCATAATAAGATGCTGACTCCTCACAGCAGGCTGTTTTAATTGCATGTACCATGCAAGATACAAGTTCTTATTGGTTTTAATTCATTTGAGTGCTGTAGCATGCATGTGTTCTTTTGGAATCCTTTTAAATAATGTTTGTGTATGTGTAGGATAGGACAACATGGGAGAGAGGGGAAGAAATATCACTTTCATTTTTCTTCTGTTTCTGATATATAGTAAATCAGCTTTCCTACACATGATCTGAAACATCCCAATTCTGAACTGATCTAAAGTGGTCAACAGAGGAATTAATTTGTGTGATTATAAGCATATTCATATTTCTAAAACTAATTTCTCATATCTCAATTATTCTGAATATCTGAGGATTTTAAACTTTTGGGTGTAAAGGGGGTAAAATAAAAATGCTTATCAGAACTGATCAGTTCTAAGTTAGTTTCACAAAAGCTGTGGCATGGGACTTCACTTCTCAAGAAACCCCAGAATTTGTGTGATGACATTACCACTCCACTCCCAGACACTAAAATTTAAAATTAACATTATATTAGTATTACTTCGGCAGTTTATTTACCTGAAGTCCAGGCAAATATACTGGTAAAGACTTTGGATAAAGTTTTAGTTCCCTCAGACCTTGTGGTGTCACAGTATGCCTAACTTATCTGAATCTTAGAGTTTCGTGAACAAAGGAATTTAAATTACAAATTAAAAATCTAGGCTATATTTGAGTGTGATGGCACATAGCTGAAATCCCTGCTCCTGGGGGATGCTGAGGCTGGTGGATGGCTGGAATTCAGGAGTTCTGAGCTTCAGGGGAGCTAAATGTCTAGCCAGTAGTATGGTGAGCCAGCCCCTGGGAATGGAGAGCCCTCAGGTCAGGATGAGCACACTGGCTCAGGTAGGAAAAATGGAGCAAGTAAAAGCTTCCCTCTCAATCAAGAATTCTAGCCCGGGTGAGAGACCTAGTCTCAAATTTTTTTTTTAAATTAGGAAATAAATAATGATAAACTTTCTCCATAGATATGAACAGTCTTAAGACCTCAAGGATTACTGCCTTTCCCCAGAAATATCATTAAGTTTATAAATGACTAGATAGATGGATTAATTTGAGAAAAGAGAAAAATGTAGCCAGTTGATAGAATTCTACTTTGATATTTTAAAACCATCCATTTCTCTGTAGGTAATAGGCAAAAAAATTTCATTTATCAAGTTAATCATAGGATCCTCGCCGTAGGGCTGGAAGGGACCTCATGGGTGACCTACTCCAGCCCTCTTTACAGAATAAGTAACTGAGGCCCAGAGAGGAAAGGTGAGCTGCCCAAGGGTAAAACTAGTCTTCTACTAGGAAACGGAATTCTAGCCAGCTTAAGATGACTGTTTTATTGACTGCTACTATTTAATAAAACTTAAGTCAAATAGTATTCATTTCTCTTACTGAGCACTCTTAGAGGAAAGACTGGGTTACCATCCAGCATTTCAGGAACATTGCTATTTTACAATTGCGCTTTCTCTGTATAGCTAATCCTGTCTATTACATAGCTCATTAAAACCTTTATTGATGTTTATCCTCTTTGGTGCAGTATAGGACATTCAGTTATGTGAGGCATAATTATTCAACTTTTCTATGTGTAACATGCATTTAATTCAGTTTTTGAATTTAAATGCTGGAGGTTTAGTTTGTTTATGACTTTGTAACTAGAGTCCCAATTATTAGGAAGTTGGATTTGTAAGGGTAGCTAAGCTAGGTTTATTGATTCACTTCAAATGTCAGATAAAGGAGACATTTAGAAAATGAAACTTGAGAAACCAGCTAATGGGGAGGACTTATTTTGGCCAGAATAATTCTGAATAAGTCAACAGAAAAATGATCTAGTTGCCCCAAAGTAATTTCTTGCTTTAGAGCTTCCTAAGAAATTACTAGGTTACTAAATATATTCAGGTGGCAGTTACAGTTATTATAACAAAATATTACTCTTAGTGCTTTTTGATACTTTTTTTTTTTTTAGTGCAGACCCATTCAAGTTCCAAACTTGTAACATCAGCCATTTTTATACTGAAGGTTCCTCCCACCACTTTCTAAGCATGCCCAGCGGTGGCTTCAAAAAGAAGGTCCTACGTATGTATTCATGCATTTATAATTATCTACTGCATGTGATTTTTTCCTGTTGTATAAAACAGCAGTGTTAGTAATTGCAGTAGGGTTAGTTTTTATTTGATTTCATTTCATATAATTAATTGATGTGAAACTTACTAGCATACCTAGGCTGCAGCCCCATGCAAGCAAGCAGAAAGCAAAGTATTTAAAATGGAAGAGAGAAACTGGCTAGCAGGCAGCTAAACTCACCCTTTTGTACAGCCTATGGTCCGCCAGAGGGCTTTAGACAGTAAAACAATACCAAACAGCTATTAGCATACAAATCTCATAACAGAAACCTTACAAATAGCTTTAGTTAGACAAAAAGAAGACCAAGTGGCTTTATTTTCTGGGGAGGAAAAAAAGGGAGGTGGTGGCAGGAATGAGAATGAAGTGGAAATTCTACAAGTGCTTTTAAAAAAAATCTGGATGAACTATGTTTTGGACTTTATATTTTACTCAGTGTACATCAGGGTTTGAGTAAAATGGAGCTAACAGAATTCACTGGAAATAGGAAAGGACTACTACTTCTTAAGTTAATAAAACTATTTCAAACCCTTCTGCCTTTTTCTTTTGTAGTGTTAGGTTGTTCCCTGTTTTAGGAAGAATTTTTACCAACTATCGAGGAGTGATAAATACAGCAATTTCTTCTAAAATATATGAAATGACCCAATAACCAAGGGGGAACAAACATTTTAAATTAGACTTCCAGTAATGAGTTTAGATAGATGTTAGAGATTTCTCTAGATTTCAAGAATCATCATGAATGGGGCATGAGGATTGATTTTATATGTGTTTTATGGGTTGTTAAATCTGATTCCAAATTTTCTTGGCTCTAAATAAATAATATCTGGACCATTCAAAGAATGGCAACAAATAAATTCCAGGAGTAGCATTAAATATGACAAACAGCAAAGGTTTTGGGATTATTGAAACTGCTTCCTCTTGTCCTATTTTAAGCAGAGAACAAAAGTTTAGAACTCAGAGTAGGTTATATTTCCTTTCTCATGATTTCCTATGACATTATTACAAGTTAAGGTCTGAACATAAAGGAGATAAAAACATTATGGAATTCTTTCTCATTTGTACACAGAAAAGAATAGAATTGAACCCGTGATTTCTTTGGTTTAGGCCTAGTTCTCCCGGCTGAAGAAATTCCTTCTGCCAATAAACATCAGTGCCTTCTCTTCAACTTAAGGTTTTAGAGAGTTACCAGGGATAGTGCTGAGAGGATGAGTCACTCAGTCAGCATCACACACCCAGCATGTGTCAGAGTAGGATATGTTCCCAGCTCTTTCTAGATCGAAGGTGGGCTCTCTAGTCCCTATGTCAGAAAGATAATTCTGAAAGCAGAGAGAAAGAGAGAAAGAAAGAGAGAGTGGGGAGAGGGAGCCCATTCTTCCTACAACTCCGGATGAAGCCATGACATTTTAAAAGCCACTTAAAGGTTCATAGGACCCTTAAGTGATTGACTAAAAGCTGGAAGAGGACCTTCCAGGCCAACAAGTCCAACCCCTTCATTATACAGATGAGGAAACTGAGACTGAGAAAGGTTAAGTGACTTGCCCAGGGTCACACAGCTGTAGTAAGTGACTGACTTAGGACTTAAACTCAGATCTTCCTGAATCCAAGCCCAGAACCAAATTCACCAAATCATTTAACTTGTGTTCTGAAAGCGGTCACTCAACTTACCACGAGGAGCAGGTTTGGTAGAATGGAACCTGAATAAGGGACATGATTAAATCTTGATTTGTGATCTTTAATGAAGAAGGATCAACCATGCTGACTTTTAAGAGATAAAGTTGGATTAAATGAAGGGAAAGAGCAAATTCAGAACATGAAAATTCTGATTGTTGTGTTAAGGTTATTTTTAAAAAAATAGCATCTGTCTCAGATACTTACTAGTCACATGTGAGAAGGGAGGATATAGTTCTAAGATGCTTAATGCCTGAGAATTCCTCCCCTTTCCCCGGTAGATTTGCTACATTACAGGTGGGAAAAGGAAAAGAAGGGGACTTTAGCAGCTGTTAGGGGCCCAAACATGGAAGACCTTGGCATTTTCATTAGACAAAATTTGTTGCCCTGTTTGGGTATGAATACTATAATGAATGCTATATGTATGGTATAATTATAAACTGAGGAGATTTATTTTTTGTGTGGGGTGTAACTGAGGTCTCTATATGGTCACACTGGGCCTTAAGACATAATTTCTGGATTTTCTTGCATTTCAGAGTATTGTCTTTGGTTCTTTGTTACTTCTATTATTCTTTCATTTGGATGTCTCATTACTCAACACAATGAGAGAAAAGATCCACAGTTATCACAGTTAGGCTACATAGAAAACAATAGGAAAAAAATCCCAACCATTAAATGATGGAGAACAAATTCTGCATTAATATAGGTTAAGAAGAGACCTAAGTGTCTTCCAGAAAAAGTGACTTCATAAACCACAGTAAAACCAAGATTCTGATATTCTGAGAAACATACTTCTGTGTGAGAAAAAGAAAATACAAACCCATGCCTAAGACAGAGCCACTAAACTACCCATCTCAGATTGGTTCTGATAAATTAGTATCTATCAGGAATAGCACCTCAAAAATAATCTTATGTAAAGGAAATAAAATGAAGTATTTCTTCCAGGTACAAATCAAATACATATCCCTAGTCCTCAAAGAAAGCTCTAGATTTGGAGAAATGAAGAGAAACTGCTATAGAAGATGGGCTATTGAGTCTCCCTGGTTTGTTGGGGGCACAGTAGCCCAGTATATACCAGTTTTCCTCCCAGTGGTTAAGAACATCCCAATAATCTAAGCTGTGCTTCTTACCTCCCTGTTTGGTTTAGAGATTATTTCCCCCAAGCCCATCAGAAAATCAACAAGAGCAAATCAGACATTCTATCCAGCAGAGGGCAACGGTATATCAACTGTTTCACAGAAATCATTGTTCTGTAATGGAAATCTTTAATGGAATCATTTCCTTGGAGAATTGAGAAATCCACTTGTTTTCTACTTTGGTGCACAGTTCAGAGAATAAAATTAGCTAAGGCATGAATGGAGGACATGAGCAGTATAGAACAAAGGGTTAAATGGAAACTTTGAATTAAGTTAGTTTGGCTCAAGCAGAAAGCTTCTTGTACCCAATATAAGCAGCAAAAGGCCATATATGACATGTTCTTTTTATTTTCCTACCTTTCAGTAGTTACCACATTTCATTTATTGCCCCCTGCTTTGGATGGTTCTGTTATTCCAGAGTCTTTTGAAAGACATTTGTTTTAGTAATTTACTTTGATAATTCTTGTTGGATAAAGACTAAGCCTGTTTTGTTATTCTTGATGGATAAGATACATATGGGGACTAATGTACCTGTGGCGACAACGGCGCAGAAACCTCATTATCTTTCGAGCAGCTTGATCCTGCTTCTTGGTTAGCAGACTGCTCCTGAAAAAAAAAATTAGCCCGTGTTACTGTCATAGAAAGCACATTGTCAAGTTATAAGACTTGTTTAAAATAGGGCAGCATTAGTACAAGATTTAAAATTAAATACTTCATCTAGGGAGCTTGAGAGTACAGATATGTAGTTATATGATAAGGTATGAATCAATCTACAAGAAGGACAAAAGGAACTAATACATAAACACTCTGAATCTAAGAGAGATTGTAGAAAATTTAAAGATGAAGATGATTTTTAAAGAATCTTTGGTGACTTCCTATCAAGTTGATTTCGGTGAAAGACTGATGTTTTCCTCCAAAATTTAAGCATACTTCTTTTAAAAATGATTTATTATTAACATTAATATTAAACATTAAGACAACTAATTACATTTAAATATTTACATTTAAATAAGTTTCTCACAAATGTAGTAACTTCTTATTTAATCCCTGTAAGTTTCTATTGTGATTCTTTATCCCTTCACTTTCTTTTTTTTTTTTTAATTTTTAAAAAAATTTTATTTTTAGGCAGTTGGGGTTAAGTGACTTGCCCAGTGTCACACAGCTAGTGAGTGTTATGTGTCTGAGGCCGGATTTGAACTCAGGTCCTCCTGACTCCAGAGCTGGTGCTCTACCCACTGTGCCACTTAGCTGCCTCAAGCTCTACTTCTTTTGATTTGCATCATCAAGTTCCTCAGAGACTTCTTTAAATTTCTTATACTTTTCGGACTGAATTTCATTAAAGTGGTCTAATACATTAATGTACCACAACTCATATAACTGTTCCCATATTGTTGGGCATGTAGTTTTTCTTTTTTTTAATCATAATAAATAATACTGCTGTAAGAATCTTTGAACAGATAGCTCTTTTTTTTCTTTTTAATAGCATTCTTATAGTATATGATCAATAATGGAATTTGGGGGTCATAGGATAGGGTTATTTTTGTAAATTTTAAGCCAGATTGCTTTCCAGAAACATTCTCCTACTGCATAGTTGCTAGCAGCAGTGAGTGAATGCCCTGAGAGTGCTAAATTTCATGGCTTTAAAGTCTTTTTGTCAACTTGCTGCATTAGAGATAATAACTCCAAGTTGTTTTAACTTGTATCTTTTTGGTTGTCAATGAAGCTGGGCATTTTCAAATTAATATTAAGTATATGTATTTTCTCTTTTGAAAATTTTCATGTCCTTTGACCATTTATCCATTTGGGATTTTATACACTTAAAACAATTTCTTGTATTTTATATGTCAAATTTCTATTAGTTATATTTTCTGTAACCATTTCCCCAAGTCTGTTTTCTTTTTGTTATATTTTTATATGATTTTTATTTTCCTATACTTAAGCATATTTGTCTTGAGCTCAATCATTCCTCCCATTTAATATCAATAGGTATTTATTGCATACTTTATGTCAGGCACTGTGGGGCTACAAAGACAAAAGGGAAGGGGAAGGAAAACAAGTATTTATTAAATACCTACTATGTGCCAAGTACTGTGCCAAGCACTTTACAGCTAGGTGGCTTAGTGGATAGTACCAAGCCTGGAATCAGGTTGACCAGAGTTCAAATCTGGTCTCAGACACTTAATACCTGTGTGACCCTGGGCAAAATCACTTAACCTCTGTTTACCTCAGTTTTCTCATCTGTAAAATGGGGATAATAAAAGCACCTTTTTCTCAGGGGTCTTGTCAGGATCAAATGAGACACTAATTGTCAAGTGCTTCACACAATGCCTGGCACATTGTAATCCCTCCATTAATGTTAGCTATCATTATTATCATTATTACCTTTGTTGTAGTGGAGGAGATAATTTCTTTTCTACAATTAAAATGTACAGATTATTCTATTTTCTTCCATTTTAAGTGACTGATATAAAACTACATTTAAAATAGTTTGTTTTAAAATGTTTTAGGCTGTCATTTAACTGGACTTTACTGAGGTGTATAGTTTCTTGGGTTAAAAATGGATTTCCTTGAGTTTGGAGTCCCTTTGTTTTTTTTTTTTTTTCTGACTTTAAAAAGTTAATGTGTCTTTTAGAAAATAGCCGCAGTTTCTCAAGTTATCGTTGGTCTAACCAATAATTCGCCTGTACCAAATACTTTGCCAAAGTTTCCCCAAACTTTCGAACACGATACTTGATACCCCTATCTTTTCAGGCACAAACTTTGTTCTTGTCTTTCAAAGTCCAGCTCTGAAATCACAACATTGAGCCAACTAGATAATTTTGGAGACTTCACACGCAGACCTACAGTCCATACCAGCACCTGAAAGCAGACTACCAGGAGCTTTGAGTCTAGCACAGGCCAGCTCGAGGTCCCGGCCTGCGTCCTCTTCGCCGTCACACTTCCTCCAACCCACCTGAGCTTCTGTTGTACAATGGCAGCTGCTCGGCGACTTTGCTTTCTTTTGCCACATTCCTTGTAGCTCCGGTAGTACTGTTGGATCAGCACAGCAGCACGTCTGCTCTGCTGGAATTTTTTCTGCTCGTAATAGCTTCGGAATTTGCTCTGGATAAGGATGGCAGCCTGTGTCATCTTTTTATAAAGTGCATACTGCAGAGGAGACAAGAACAAGCGAAGTAGTAACAACAGGAGAAAGACAAGTTTTCCCATACTGACAGAGGAGCCTTGTTTCCTTGGAACATGCTCTCAGTGAAAGGAGAAGCTCTCTTTTCATACTGTCATGGAGTCTTTTGGCAGTTAATCGTCACCAAGGCCTATGAGGGAGCTGTTTACCTACCTTTCCAAAATGCAAAATACAACAAAAATTCCAGCTCGGGTAGCTGAGTACTGCTTTAAATGTGTTTTCCCTCCACAAATACCAAAATATTCATTAATACATTTTCAAAAGTATTTTTACACAGCAGCAGCTTAAATACTCATGTTTTTTTTTTTAAAAATATGACACTTAGAAAAATTCTGGATATTAGATGAGAATATTTATAAATCACTTTTGTAGAATTTAAACTAACCTTTCCCACGTGCCTCCCATCTCACAAAACATACAATCTGCTTTGAATCAACACCTTGTTTCGAATTCTCTATCCATAAAGAACTTTATTGGCTGAGTCACAAGTTCCCAAATATAAGGATTATCATGAAACGCTGACACCTTCAATAAAGCTGTTTCCACCTGCAATGATTAATACCCCAAATAGCAAGATGATGGTGAAGCAGTAAGGCAGGACAGCCTGGGAGATAATCACAGAAGATGGGGCCATAGGAATCCAGCATAGGAGCCAAACACTGGCTTTTTTTTTTTTCCACCCTGCCTACTATGTGTCCTCAAAAGAAAAGGCTAGGACATCCCAGGACTGGGGTTTTCTTCTCTTGAATGTCCACTTCTGGACATCCTAGAGTTCCCAGTCTTTTAAGAAAGCCACGTCCAAATATCTGTTCTGCCAAAAATGGGCTCTGCAGAAAGGTCATGATAATGCCCTCTTCCTACCAGAATACACTTTGCCACTGAAAGGAAAATAACTTTATATCCTGCAGTTAGACTCCTTCTGGAATTATGAGGTGAAATGGAAGAAGGAAACTTTTTTTGCTTTTAAAGAAATGTTAGAGAACTATTTCAACAGGATCTTTTCCAACTCTAGCTATAACCTGTGGTATACTTTCCTTGTTCCAGCCTCTTTTAGTGAAGACCACTTTATATTCTAGAGTTTATGTTATTCATACCACACTTTGCCCTGTATACTTTATATTTTCAGAACCATAAGGGCCCATTAGGGTATTTATCTAATGAATTGATGAGGTAAGCCCTTACTGGCTCACCTGGTACATAATAATGGTCTTTTGTGTTCTGAGACTGGCTCATCGAACCTCCCTCCACCCCTCTCAATTAAATCAAAAATCACTCCAACACAGCGAACACTCAGAAAGATTGTTCACTGCTGTTAGGTGTCTCTGATATGAGGTGGTATGACCACACTATACAGTCCTCACTGGTATTGGATGCTGCTATCTTAGTTCATCTAAGGAACTACTTTGTCTGTAGCTGATAATGAGTGTGAAGTTTTTGACTCTGGTGGAATGGTTGGAAGCGTTATTTGTGTTTATTCGTTACCTTCAAGGCTATCCATGTCAGCTTGGGGGAGAAACAGAAAATACAAGATTAATGTTAGATTGGTGAATTATAAAGGAAAAAAACAGAACCAATAAAGCTACCAACAAAAATTAGTTTAACCTGGCCATATTAACGTCTAAGGTTGTAGACAAATTTTTCAGAGCATCTTTTTCCTTTTTTGAGGGGGAAGGTATCTAAAAAAGCTTGTATTTTAAAATAAATGCTTTTGATGTAATTCCAGATGTCCAGCTTTGGTTTGTGAGTGTCAGCTGCTCTATGCTGGGGAGCCCACCTGCAACACAAGAAAGAATGCAGCTTCCATGCTGCTGAACTACAGGTACTGTGGTGTCAGCGTTTACACAATAAGCCTTCATTTCCTGGGATCATGAACTCAGCTGGATGTTGCCTGGAGAGTGCTTTTTTCTCCTTCTAATAAAGTCTTGGCCCTAGGACATGAGGCTAAAGTAACTCCTGTTGGAAACTGAAGCCATGATTCATAACAAGAGAGCATAAAACCAAGAGTTTCTATGTAGATTTGTTATGAAACTTAGAATTTTCTTTTCCTAGAAATAAAGGAAAAATCTGCTTAAAACACAGACCTATAAAATAATCTTCTGTCCACTAAATGTATTGAATTTCACAAGGACTTGGAATCACAACTCAGAAATATTTTTGTGTTTCAAACTAACTAGCTGATCATAAAAGGTTTGATGTTTATGCAATTTAGCAGATACTTGGTGAGTGTTAACTGCTTCAAGGTCGCAGAGTAGTTTAAAAGGCAAATTTAAAATTAAAAAGCATTAAGTTTGTAGCTAAAAAAATTTGGTATGGACTTCAGATAATCCAGGCTCTTGTATCATTTCTCAGGGACAAGTTAAAAATAAATTATGGCTCATGTGATGTAGAATTAACTGGCTTCTTCTGGTTTAATAGATACCTTAACATTTTAAAGAACACTAATTGATTATCCGGGGAGGGTGCCTTTTCTGTTTGGGAAAGAAGTTAAGTATGGCTAAATATACCGTCTCTTAGGAATGTTGTAGAAAGCCGGAAAAGGAACACAGTTTTTGTAAGCAAAAGCTGATATATTTCCTGGCTGTCTATTCTCAGGTCTTTCAGGTATTTGGCAATGGAAATTACCTGATCTCAGTGACACAAGAGTTGAGTGGCTATAGTAAGCACTTTTCTTGACTAGAATACATTATCTCAGACTGAGTTGGAACATTCATTTTGGATGACTGTGTTTGTATTTTGGGATATGAAGAAGGTCTCCAGTCAGATAGGTTTTGTTTATCTTGCAGGAAGGGTAGTAAAAAACAAATTACTAGAGAAGATTCACAGGTTTACGTATAAGACGATAGTGGTTATGATTCATGGTATTATTACATATAGTATATGTATCATATTATATGTAGTATTTAATTATTTATAGTATTATGTATATTATGTATAGTATTCAATGTATAGTATTATTATGAATAGTATTCAATCTTAACTATCACTTGATTCATTTGAGAAACTCAGTATAATCCAGTAGATCATCAAATGAAGTAACAAGCATTTAGAGCTGGTACTCTACTCCATTTTCTTGTGGCTATTTCTTAGGCAAAAGGTCCCTGATGATAGAAATTTGAGTGCTTTGTAGTAAGGATGGATTTACTGACTTGGAGAAATTAAAGCTGGACTTTGTATTCAGTTTAACTTAGGGTGGTCTTTTTTTGTGGGAAAACATGATATAGTCAGAGTTGAAAGGACATTTTACTTTGGAAGGATGCTTCATAATAACAGGACCATTACCCTACATGATTTGGAAGCTGCATTTTAAAAATCCACATTATTTAATATTCATCTTGCATCTTTTATCTAAGGAAATGAATGAAGACAGTTTAAGATTTTTTTTTGTCATCAGTCTGTTCTCCTTGTGAGGTTGTTATAGAGCAGCAGACATTATTAACCTCTATATTTAATGAAGAAACTGAGGATGCTATTTTTTTAAACATATAAATCAGAGCTCAGAATTGTTTGATAGTATTGTAGTTATTTGCTTTGTGTAGCATTGCATAGAATTATTTTATCAATGAGAGTTTATAAGCAAAATTAAAATATAAGTACCTTTGTTGCTTCAAATGAAATTATACAATTTTTTTAGTGACAAGATTATGTATCAAGGAGGTGATTTTATTTTAAAAGGGTGATAAATTTAGATTAAAATTCTTTTGAGACATAAGAGTTTGTCCAGAGATGGGTCATTTTTATTTCTGTCAGATATTTCTCCCTTGCTATCTATCAAGACAATCCAAATGAAATATCTTTTATAAGCCTTAGAAATAGTGCTGACTTGCCAAGTCACACACGAGTCCTTAGGAACCTGGTGTTGCTTTAAGAGAAGTGTTGTTTCCTTTTAAGAAGCAAAGCTTGTTTACCTGTTTGTATTTTCTGTAACAACGTTGAATGACAGCAGCAGCAACTTCTTGCTGTTCCTGTAAGGGACGACCCTAAAATATAAGGAGAAGAGAAGGAAATAGCAATGACTTCATTCACTTGAATAGGGAAAAAAACGTGTCTAGAGATGTCAGCTTCATAGTCTCCTGAAAATTATGTAAGACTGCTACTCAAACTAATTAAACCCCAGTATAAACTTAGATCCTGGGTTACTGACTGTTTAGAGAATTCATTCTAAACATAAATAAGGAAAACCAAGCCTAAATCTGCCTCTTTGTAACTTTGGCTCATTCCTTCTGTTTCTGCCTGCTGGGGATGAGTAATAAGCAACAAATCTAATCCTTCCACATGACAGATCTTAAAATCTTTGAAGATGGGGAATGTGCCACAGAGTCCGAGAGCTGGAAGATACCTCAGTGCTCATCTGTTCCTATCTGTACATGAAATGAAATTTTACCATAGCACACCTGACGGACAACCACCATTGCTTAAAGACCTCCATGGATGGGGAATCCACCACCATTTGAGGTGCCCCATTCTACACTGGGACAGCACTAACTATTAGGAAACCTTTTCTGACTTCAGGCCCTGATTTGTATCTTTGCAACTCCCATTCATTGCTACTGGTTCTGCTCCCCTAGGCCAAGCAGCACAAATCTAATCCCTCTTTCATATGGCAGTTGTTCAGCCACATGAAGACAACTGTGATGTCACTCCTACACCTTTTCCCCATCTAAATATTCCCAGCTCCTTCACCCTATTCTTATGTGATGTAGACTCAGGACCTTTCAACTTCCTGGTTGTCTTCCTTTGTCCTCCTCTGCAGATTATCAATGACTTTCTTATACTGCGGTGCCCCAAATGCAATACTCCAGATGTAGTCTGAGTGGGGCACAGTACAGAGGGATTATCAACTCCTTCTTCCTGAAAGCTAAGCTTCTTCTAATGTAGCCCAAGACCGAATTAACTTTGTTTGGGTGTCACATTAAATTGCTGACTCATATTAAGTTGCAGTCTACTAAAAGCCCTATATATTTTTCAGATAATTGCTCCATAACCAGGTCTTCCACATTCTGTACATGTGGGGTTAATTTTTTGAACACAAGTGTAAGACTCTATACTTACTCTTATTGAATGTCATCTTATTAGATTCAACTTCACGTTTCAGACTTTTTGTATCATGGTTGTCATTCAGCTAACAAGCTATCCCATTCAGTTTTGCATCATCTGCAAATTTGGTGGGTGTGTTATTTTTGTCTTTATCAAGTTAATGATAAAGACATAGTTAAATAACACAGGGCCAACTACAGATTCCTGAGCCTTTCCACTAGAGACCTCTTGCCATACTGATATTTAATCATTGCTAATTACTCTTTGAGACTTGCCACAACCAGTTCTGAATCTATCTGTTATTGGCTAGTCCACATCTCTCTACCTTCTCCAAAATAGTAGCATTAGTTGTTGTTGTTGAATCGTGTCTGACCCTTTGTGACCCCATGTGGGGTTTACTTGGCAAAGGTAATGGAGTGACTTGTAGCTTCCTTTTGCAGTGGATTAAGGCAAACAGAGGTTAAGTGACTTGCTTAGGGTCACACAGCTAATGAGTGTCTGAGGATAGATTGGAACTCAGGTCTTTCTGATTCCAGGCCTAGCACTCTATCCACTGAGCCACCTAGCTGCATGAGACACTTTATCAGATGTCTCCCATAGGTCTCCTCTTCTCTAGGCTAAACAGCCTTTGTTCTTTTAGCTAATCCTCAGATGGTGTCTGGTCACCCCTTTCTCAATGCTTTGGAGTATTTAATTATTTATATATAGCATATTATCATCAGTCAGTATGTGTCTATTATTATTAACAGCAGACAAAACAACGGGGATTCTGTGGCAACTTTCCCTCTGTGATTAACATCAATGACATTTAAAGATTTTTACACCATAGATCTAAAAATACGATTTTCTAAGAGTTAGAGAAGAAAGAAAAAAGCAATAAGAAAGGATGCACAAAAGTAAATGCTTGTTTTGATTCCCTTTGGCCTTGACCTTAAGGAATTAATCCTTTTTTTTAATTTGGTAATGAGTTTTCATGTCTATATAGCAGCAAAACATGGAATAAAAGTCACTGAACAACTAGAAATGAGTTGATCACACAGAAAACCATGGAGAGGTGCACACTGTTGGCATGAACAGGCTATAACATGATGCCAGTGAAAAATAGGAGGAAAGCACGTCATCGAGGAATTGTATGATAGCAAGAGAAGATGGGCTAATCATGTGAAGAGGATGAAGGATGACAGGTGGACAGCCAGGGGGCTACACTGCTGCCCTTTCAGTGTTAGAAGAAATCAAGGAAAACCACTCATACATTAGGTGGCTCCCTTCTGTCAAGTTTATGGGAGGAAATGAACAAGAGTCACAGAGGATGGGTAGACATGTTGGGGGTCAGTTACTGCATTGTTGGAGGAAACTCCTGACCTGAGGATATCAACTGACTGAAGATTCTTACCTTGTATTTTCTGAAAGCTGTCTGGACAAGCTTGGCAGCTTCATAGAGTTCCCTCTGTTCGTGATCAGATAGAGTTAACTGAGCAAACTCATTTTCTACCTTTTCACTGGTGGATGCACTCAGGAATTCAGACCAGTCTGCCGCTGAAGGAAGTCTTGGTTTCTCAAATGCCATTTCACTGTTTGGTGAGCCTACAGGGCTCAAGCTGGTGTTAGAAGAAGGGGTCAGGGGCTCATTATATAGAGTTCTGAAAAAAAGATAGACAGCCAGAATAGCAGATTAGGGTAATGACTTGTGAGAGTTATCTGTGACCTTGTTAACTGAATTTTAATGGAAAAGATAGTATTTGAAAGAAATTATTTTATTTCTCAAGACTACATAGAGTGTAAAATATTGCAGACTTAAAAAATATACTTAACTTTCTTCAGTAGAATAGTTTAATGGCTAAGTACTTACCTGGTTTTTTAAGTGTCTTGCAATTTGACTCAACAAATATTGACTGAGCATGGATTATGTGCTGGACTCTGTGTAGGGTGTGTGGTGGATACCCACAAGTATAAAATATAGCCCTTACCCTCAAGAAGTTTACAGTTGAGTTGGGAGGAAAGTTGTGCACATGAAAAAGTTCGTGTCAAAATTAATTATATAGTATTATTGGAGCTTGAGGTAGGGGCCCAACCTGTGATTTCATGGGTGCAGGGAACTACCAATGTTGCAACTTGCTCTACCACTATAGTTAGGCCATTTGTCTGTAACTAAAAAGCATAGCTTGGGCACATAGAGTTAAGAGATTTGCCCATGGTCACACAGTTAGTATGTATCAGGGGCAGGACTTCTGGGCTCGTAGACTAATTCTCTTTGAACCATGTTGTGTCTTGTGGGAAGTGATCTATGTGAGATGGAATATTTGGGTAGGACTTCTTTCAGGAAGTGGGTGGGACTTGAGCTGAGCCTTGAAGAAGGGTCCCCAACATTTTCAAATCTCTCCTCTGAATTTGTTCCAATGTCATTTTTGCCCATTCCCCCCAATTTATAGAATCAAGATAGCAGACTGAAGCTGCCCCAACAAACCGTTCTACCACCATTAAATATATGTTAATTATCTGGGGCATTTCACTGACCTGATCTGTGCAGCACTTGGTAGATGATCGACATCAGCAAGGTAACTGGCCAGCCAGCTCATTGTGCTGCTAATGGCTGCAGCATCTGTCCTCTCCGCTGCTGTGGGCTCCAAGGGCACAAAATTCTCTCGCTTGATCCGGTCAGGTGTTGCCTCAATAATGTGTTCTGCCAAGGTCATCATATTTACCTTGGAAGAAGAAAAGAAGGGTCTGACATCTCAGTTCAATAGACTCATACGTCTTTTCCATCTTTCTAGTTCTATCTGTGGTTCTATAATCATTTTTACAAGGATTATACAGCATTATTTTGAATGTGCAGAGACCCTGGGAGCTCGCTTCAAGATCATAGGTCTCAGTTCAAAATCTCTAATTATATTCCCATCTCTAGGTTTCCATTTTTGAGACAAGGTCTTTCTCTAAGAACTCTTGTTTTTCTCTCCTCAGAATCAACCAGTAAGGGCTTAATAATATGGACAAACCTGTCCTATAAAGTTCCTTAATCTGAATCAGATTGGGCATGTTAGAAAATACCTGCTGGTAATATTAATCTAGTGGCTTGATTCAAAAAAGGAAATTTTTAGTATCTCTCACTACTTCCTTTCCTTTTCTCAGGAAGCTCCAATTAGAAACTTTCCACTTTATAGTTGTTAACTGCTATGCTTGTTTTATAACTACAAAAAGTATTAATTCTTGCTGTTTCTTGTAGGCTGATGAATATTTTTGTTAAAGTGAAATTTCTGAAAGAAGCTAATGATTCTTTAGTCATCTCTGAGGATGCTATTTTTGTCTAATTTACAAAAATATCAATGTAAGAAAGTGGCAGAGTGGGATATTGGAAAGAATATAGAATTGGAGTCATGAAACATAAAGTTAAAATCCTCCTGCCAGCACTCATGAAGTGTATGATCGTGGGCAAATCACTCAACATCCCGAGCTTCTGGCGACTTCTGATGGATTAAGTTGAAGGAGTTCCTAGAGGAGTGAAACCACAGGGCCTTGATATATTGACTTAACAAAATGAGAACTTCTGAAAAAGAGTGAACACCGTGATAGCAGGGAAAATGCTTCTATCTAGGAATGTAAAGTTCCTAATTTCTTGTGATATTGTCTCATAGGAAGAAAACTAGCATTCACTAAGTGTTTACTCTGTGTTACCCCTGTCCTAAGCGCTTTACAATTATTATCTCATTTGATCTTCACAACAGTCTTGGGAAGTAGGTGTTATGTATTACCCCCATTTCACAGTTGAGGAAACTGATGCAAATGAAGGTTAAGTGACTTGCCTTTGGTCCCCATCAAGTAAGTGCTTGAGGCTGGATGTGAACTAGATCTTCCTGACAATAAGCCCAGCACTCTTTTCACTGTTTTGCCTAGCTGCCTAATAGATTAAGGGGGCAGCTAGGTGGCAAAGTGTATAGAGTACCAAGTCTGGAGTTAGGAAGACTCATCTTCTTGAGTTCAAATCTAGCCTCAGACACTTGCTAACTGTGTGATCCCGGGCAAGTCACTTACCTTGTTTGCCTCAGTTTCCTCATCTGTAAAATGAGCTGGAGAAGGAAATGGCAGACTACCCCAAGAAAACCACGAAATTGCCAAGAAAACCCCAAATGGGATTATGAAGTCAGACACAACTGAACAACGACAAAAAAAAATAGATTACACTACTTTCTCTAATCCAACTGAACCATCAACTATGAAAAGTAATAAAATTTAAATTATTTCATTGATTTATTTATTTAGATAGTTGATAGCATACTTACTATCTCAGGGTACCCTGTTGGGTACTAAGGGTGAAACAAAAATGAATAAGATATGTCCTCTTCTTTCAGGGAGTTTAACATCTAATAGAAATATCATTTACACAAGTAGCTATAACACAAGGTTGAATCTAGTGATATGAGAGGTACAAAGAAAGGGCTATCTGAGTTTAGAGGAAGGAGCCATTTCTTCTTGTTGAAGGCGTTAAGGACTGCATATTGGCAAGGCGGTATAAATCTGGGACATGTAAGGATAGGTAGAATTTAAAATGCAGAAATGAGGGAATGGAAGGGAATTCACACCAGGCAGAGAGAAGAGTGTAAATAAAGGCACAGAGAAAGGGAAATATGGAGTATGTTCCAAACATAGTAGGTAGTCTAACTTGGCTGGAATAGAGGGTGCATGAAGAATAATGGGGCAAAAAAACTACAAAGATTTGTTGAAGCCAGATTGAATAAAAAATATTTTGTGAAGAGGTCCTAATAAAAAACATTCTTCCAGTGTTTCAACAAAATTTTCCAACCTCACGTTCTTCATATGACATCAGAATAAGAAGTTTTGTCCTAAAGTTCATATGCTGTTAACTTTTTCCACAAAATGTAGTTCTCTGACGGTTCTGAAGGTCTGCAGCTGAACTGCTTATGAAGGTCAGAAAGGATATATACAATATCCACTTCTTCAGGTTGTTAGTGTTTGTCTTCAGAACATTCAGAAGTACAGTTCAGAAATTCTTGATCATCTGCACCTAAACTCCACACCATTTTCTTGAGGATATGTATATTTTCTAGACACCAACATATTCACTTGGTTTATTCAGATTGTTCAAACAGAATAGTACAACATATCTCTCTTATTTCCACTGAACTGCATGTCTGCATTAGCTTGGGTGCTATTTTCTTTTGCTCTTCAAAGTGTCCTTGGACTTAAAAAACAGAAAAGGTTGCAGAGCTTATTAGCAGCTTAATGGGTTTAGTCCTTAGACTGTTAATGTCTTCTTGTCTTAAATGGCACTACAGTGTCTCAGTACCCTTTGGATTTCTCAGGCATTTTGAGTCTACCACCTTTCTAAAGATGGGCAAAAATCTGATAAATTTTGCTACAGATGGAGAAATTAAATGGAAGATCTAATTCATTCTTCATGATTTTTAGTAAGTCTTGTGAAAATCAGTTCAAAATGTTCTAGACTTCTTAGATGAATAGACAGAAAAAATGTTGTAAATATTAAAAATGTTAAAAAATAAAAATTCTTCTAACCAACTGCCATTGTCCACTATCATTCAGAAGTCATGCATTATGAGAATGTAGGCTCAAAGCTACTGTGATTGGGGACTAGAAGAGGGAAAGAAGCATCATTATGTGCTGAATGCGTGATCCAGAATTTAAGAGATGTTTCTGAAATACACTTATCCATAAGCAGAAGATCCACAACTTTGTATTTCAAAGCCTTTTTCAGTACAAGCAAAAAAATATAAAACGTAGCATTATAATGAGGTGTGGTGTAACAAGAATAAGATAATGACATCCTCTAGCTATGGAAGCTTTATTTAATAGCCTCATATCACATTACCTCCAGCCTGAAAATATACTCCCTGGGACTAATAACAACGGCATGATAATACTATGAATTTATATAGCACCTCTCACCCAAAGAGGCCAAGGCACTTGGCAAATAATATAACCATTAACTTCTAGGTAGAGAGCATCATTCTTTCTAATATGTACACAGGAGACTGTAAGACTGCCATTAAGAGGGAAAAATAGTTTGGCCAGCAAAATAAGCCCAAAATGTTGTGAAGTGACTAATGTTTTATAGAGCACAATAGGATACGATCCTTTCACGTGACCTCACCAAAAAGCTTTGTTAACTTTGAATTGTGGTTGTTTTACTCACCTTACTTAAAGTACCTTTTAACAACATTAGAGTTAAAAATTTAAAATACGCTGAAATCTGGAAAACCTTAGAAAATTATCTATCACTATTGTTCCTCTTAGACATTGTGCTTTAAGAAGTTGAAAATCTGTTTAGGTAGCCCAACTGGGGGTTAATTTCAGTTCACATTCCATGGATCCACAACAACAGATTTTGTATACTAAAAGGATTCTCAATATGCCTGTGATTTGGTTTTAGGGAAGGAGTCACCACTGGGACCGTAGTTTTATATTTTAGCCTTGACAATCTGGGGCCAATATTCTTCCAGTATATCACCAGACTTTCCTCCTTTTACAGTGGCTAGAAATGATGTCTGTGCCAGGAAGCTAATTCAAACTTATGAGGACTTTTATACAAATAAAAGCTTCCTGATTTAGATATATATCTTAGGCCCATGACCATAAAGTAACTAGTGCCTTCCATTGTGAAATCAGCCACAGTGGATGTTTCTTTGAATAAAAAGGGATCCACCTGGGACACCTTTTCAGGAATAAAGACAAGACAGCTGTATACTCATGAGAGGTATTGAGGAGTTTGTTCAAAGAGAGAGGGGTATCTCTGAGATCTAGATTAGTGGCAATTGGACCTGTTCACAATACTTGACTCACTGAAATATGTATAGGATCTGATCAACAAAATAAAATCTATTCTATGAACCAAAGCAGACGTAGAAGAATATACTTGTACATACAGGTCAGTCAGACTTCTTAACACTTCACTGGCTAAAAAAATTCCATGACCTTTGGAAACTGATGTTCCATCGAGGAAAGTATGAATGTTTTGGATTTAGAGTCCGAGGGCCTGGGTTCAGATTCCAGTGGTGCCACATGCTACCTGTGACCTTGGGCAAACCATCTGACCTGTTTGGGCCTCAGCTATAAAATGACAGGGTTGGGATAGAATGACTTAATAGGGAAGTGATAGTTCAATTGCATTTTGACCTTGTCAGACCGCATCTGGAGTATTGTGTTCAGTTCTGGGCAACGTGGTTTAAGAAAGACCGATATGCTGGAAAGGAAGGCAATCAGGATGGTGAAGGCCCTTCAGAGTCTACGTCATGTGAGGATTGGCTGAGGAACTGGGAATGTTTGGCCTGGAGGAGAAGAGACTTGGGGGTGGGTGAGGGGAGAAAGTGGCTGCTTTCCAAGTGTTTTGAGGGACAGCTTAGGGAGAAGGAATTAGGTATGTTCTATTTGGCTCCAGAGGACACCACCAGGGACAATGATTGTACGTGGCAAAGTGGCCAACCTTAGGCTCTATGTCAGAAAAAAAAAACCAAAAAACAAACAACTTGCTGACAATTAGAGCTATTCAAAAGTGGAGTGGGCTGCCTGAGAAGTAGGTGGGGCCTTCTGGTCAAGGTTGGACAGCCACTTAGGTATCTGAGAGTGGTGATTCCTTTCATGGATGGCTGCCGAGGACCCTTCCAGCTCTCCACTGCTGGGATTTCCTTCCAGCCTATGAACCTGTGTCCTCGCCTCAACAGGTCTCCGTCAGAATTACTGACCTGTAAGTCATCCATGTGTTGCAAGCAAGCCTCGTTCTCGACATTGTCTCTATAGGACAACAACTCAGCATCTACCATCTCTCTGTCAGCCATCATTAGGACACTCATCTGTTCTCGTGGGCGAAGACGGGGTGGTGCTGGGTCCTTGCCTAGGCTGGCTCCCTTCTGGCTTCCTGTTACCTGCACTGCAGACACACCAATGTAAAGGTCTTTGGAGTTCCACTTGACTCCGGGCTGAGCTCCAGGGCCTCGGAATCCTGCAGCCTCTGGAGTGTGAGGGGAGACTTCCCGGCTATAATCCCTTATTCCTTCAGTGGGGCTGATTGTCTCAGAGACACATTGCTTGGAACTGGGGCTCTGCTTTCTGATACTTGGTTGTTCTAGACTCAGTGCAGTGGAGAGCAGTTTCTCCTGTCTTGGCTGGAAGTACTCAGGGTTCAATTTATGCTTTTTGGGAGCAGGATAATCTTTGTGGCTCTCACTGCTATAGTAATTAGAGGGCTCAGACCTAGGTCTTCTTAGCTCTGTAAGGAAAGCAGAAAGGGCAGTCAGGAGCAGTAATGGAACGAGAATTCCCACAGAGTAAGCACTTGGGAGACAAAGCTCAAAGTCAGTATTCAAAATCTTACCCCAAGTATTTAAGCATTTTAAACTACATACTCTATATTTAGACAATTTTCTTCTGGGAAACTTGAATTTCCTGCAGGTGCATAGAGTTCCTGTTATCTTTTGTACATTTTGTGCGGGAAGTAAGGGGGGGGAGCAGCTGGTGCTCCTAGAGCTAAGGGGACAGCAGAGTCAGCAAGGGAAGTGGATCTACCTGAATGACACACATTGTTTTTGCAAGTAAACTTCAAGAGAATAAAAACCATAGTAAATTCTGACGATTAATAATAGAATTCTGAAGATGTGATTATTTCAGTTTTTTTTTTTTACCTGGATTTGTACTTGCAATAACAGTGATTCCCTTTTGTGATTCTGAAGAGGTGATGGTTTCACCATGCCACTGGGCTATCCAGCTGTCTGTATTGGATTCTCCACTTGGAGGGCAATGGATTCTGGGGTTCTGTCCGAGCTGAACCTGCTCATCTCTCTGCAGCTGCTCCAGACATTCTGCCAATTTCACATGACCCCGGGACCGGGCAATTGACAGAGGCAGCCTTCCCAGTGAGTCAGGAATAGAAATAGCTCGGCGGTCCCATTTATATAGCACGATAGCAGCATCCATGTGTCCCAGGGCGCATGCCCACATCTAAAAGGTAAAGTGACAAAAAGGATACCTTTTCAGAAAGATTTCTGAAACTTGTTTTACCCTTAGCCAGCACGTTGGGCAGGTGCTCCTCATTGGCTCCAAAATGCCCTCAAATTTCTGAGAATTTTTTTTTTTTTTTGCTGCTGAGCTTAATGGGATTATGTAAAATGTAAGTATCAAAAAATAATTTTAATGAATGCCATATGTGAATGAAATGTAGTAGTACGGATCCAGGCAATTCCCACTTCCAAATTAGGAAAATTCCATTATTAAGAAATTCATGAAGCTTTTTCCTTACCAGAGGAGTGCATGAGAAATGATCCACATTCAAAGGGTCAACCTCCAGTTCCAAATCAATGCTATCAGCATGCTTAGTTCTGTAAGGAAGTAACAGTAATTACTCACCAAATTATATAATTTGTTCAGTACTGGCAAAATCGAAACTTTTCATGACAATGAAAACTGGTGTCTAACATCTTGGAAATAAAAAAAAGACCTGACATTCCATTGGCTTGGTGATTTGGGCAATTTGTATGGAGCCAGTGACCTACAGGAGATCAAGGAGGTCAACCTTAGGAGCGGTTCCCTAGTTTAGTGTTTCCAGGGAAGAATTCATTAAAAGTCTCTCCAAAATTGTCTGTAGGGCAAGTTTTTTCCAATACTGTAGAATTAAAGGAATGGCAAGAGATAAAGACTGCTCTTGCTAGTAGAACTTCTGGAAGGAAGCTATATGCCAAGTTTCATGATCCCCAACATATTCCATGTGAGTCACACACGGTCTTACCGCCATTTGATGAGGGTTTGGATCAGAGTGGCATAGCCCTGGGCTGCAGCCAGGTGCAAGAGGGTCATTCCTCGGAAAGTCTTCGAATGGATGAGGTGCTTGGACTTTGCCCAGCAGGCACGACTCATCATCTTTTCACACACCACCACCACTCGGCTCTCAAAGCAGCTCCCCATGGTCCCGGTCCCAGATGCACACTACAATAAGCAAACACAAATTACAATCTCATCTTTCATTGCAGGTAGGGAGCAGAGATTCTCGACCTAGCCAGCACTCTGCTGTACTGCATTTAAGTGCACGAAATCAAATGCTCTAATGTGTGGGGAAGGACTGCAACATAATGGTGAAAATGAAAAAGTAGAGATAAAAGCAATGTAGTAAGCTATAGAATAGACTTGCCAGGCTTCAGATGAGTGGTATTTTTTTGCAGTATTGGTACAAAGTAATTTTCCATAAAAACCACGTTTGTTGGACTAGATTATAGCTGACATTGTGAATATTAATTTAGTCTCCATTTATCTGAAGTTCCACTGATAGTGAAAAGAGGTTGTTGTAGGGTTAGGGACAATCCTAAGAGCAAAGCGCAGCTGCTCTCTTCATGTCCTCCTCATGGAGGGATACATGTAGCTTCAGGTTCATTGCCTCTAATACCACCCCTGTTCTTCCCTCTCAGCAAAGGAGGGCACCTCAGACTCTTTACTTGGGAATAGAGAATACTACAGTTCTTTTGCCTCCCACCTCATTCTTATATTTACTTTCTTCTCAGCAGAAGACCCTGCATCAGACTTCATTGAAAAAATAGAAGTCATTTACTCTGAGCTCCCTCTCCCCTTCTCTAAATCCCTTGATATCATCTCCTATCCAATCCTTCTGTATTCTAGTCTTGGATGAAGAGGTGGCCCTTCTCCTTAAGATCAGTTCCTCTACTTGCATCCTTGGTCCCACCTCCTTCCATCTGCTTTGGCAATCCATCCTCCACTCAGCTGCCAAAGTGATCTTCGTAAAAGGCAGGTCTAACCATTTCTGACCCCCAACTCTTCCCTGCTCAAACTCTAGTTGAAGAGGTTCACAAACTTACTTGGTGTAATGTCTCTTTTTCTTTCTTTTTTTTATTTTTAGGCAATTGGGGTTAAGTGACTTGCCCAGGGTCACACAGCTAGTAAGTGTCAAGTTTGGTCTGAAGCCGGATTTGAAGTCAGGTCCTCATGAAGTCAGGTCCTCCTGACGCCAGGACCGGTGCTGTATCCACTGCGCCACCTAGCCGCCCCAATTTTATGCCCCTTTTTAAAATTTTTAATGCTCCTTTTTAAAAAAAATTACTCAGCCCCCCCAGGGGTTAGGTTAACCCTTATTTTTATTCAACACCCCTCAATTGCATCGCCCCCCTGGATCATTCCAGCACCCCCCAGGGGGTGGTATTGCCCACACTGGGAACCTTTGCAAGTCCAGTGGTTCCCTACCACTTCTAGGATCAGATATAAAATGCTTTGTTTCACATGCCACCTTTTCAGTCTTCTTACAACTTACACATTCTTACACACTCTGTTGTGCGGCAATACTGGCCTCCTTGCTATTCCCAGAACAAGGCACTCCATCTCCTAACTCCCACCATCTTCACTAGTTGTGCCTGGAATACCCTCCCTCCTCATCTTTCCCTCCTAGCTCTTCCTAGCTTACAAATTACCCAGTTCCCCAGCCCGGCACTCCCATCTCAGTTGTTTTAGAAAATATTTTTTCAGGGGATGAACCTTATGAAATGCAATTACTGCTAGGCTACTGCTTCTTTATATACTCTTTAGTGAATAATCTATTATATTTAAAAAGAATTTGTTGGGAAGGTAGAGATCAGATAGTGGATGCAAAGCTGTCTCCATTAGACCTATAAAAGTTTCATTAAGAAGGACAGCAAGGGGTCCCTGATGCACAGCATCAGGTTAGGAGGCTAAGGCAGAGAAAATTCTGGTTACACAAAAATGTTTGCTGTCATGAGTAAAGATTAGTCACCTAGGTGGAGGATGGAGAAGGAAGTCCCTGATGGTTTCCCTTTTTTTTTTTTTAAAGGTGTGATCTTTATCACATGAAGCAGATACTGATTGACTATCCTAATTTCCTTTGAATTATTAGAAGCTTATTTAACTCATGGAAGTTAAAAGGTTATCAGATTAATACTGTTGTCGTCACTTGCCAGGTGACGTAGGCTTTACAGCCCTCGTGATGACATTGCACACATATGTCCCTCCCACACAACCTGGTAGTTAGGAATGAGAGGGGAACCTGTTTATCTTCACTTCATTGGGATCTTGATGATGTTAAGGGGCTGGACCTCCTGGGGCAAATAGGGAGGCCTTGGACACAAATCACACAGGACAGGCAGGTGGGAGCTGGAGGGATGAGGTCACAGATTGACTGGAGGATCTTAATCTTTGTGTGAAAAGCATTTTAGTCCTAGCGCTCCCCTTCTTACTTCATTTCTGAAGATGGAAGGGAACAATGTGAAAACCACACTTCATGGGAAGGGAAGGTAAAGTGCAGGATCCTTTATTTTACTTTGGGTCTAAGTATTATTTGCTGTTAGCTCTCTAAGTAACACTCTCCATGAGGAGTCCCATTAGCAGTCTAAATGCTCATCATTTAAATCTGCCAATTCATGCTTAGCTTCCAAAAATGGATTATGAATTCTACCTCTTACAGTTATGGGGCTCCTGAAGCAATTATGGGGTTCTATGCATTTGACACTGGAGTTCCTATTAACTTTTAGGAAATTATATATATATATATACATATACATATATATATATGTATATGTGGATCCTGGGATGCAAGATATAATCTCATGTAGAGTAATTATTGAAATGGTTTGTTTTTTTTTAAGGCAATTGGGGTTCAGTGACTTGCCCGGAGTCACACAGCTAGTAAGTGTCAAGTGTTTGGTCTGAGGCCGGATTCGAACTCAGGTCCTCCTGACTTTAGGGCCGGTGCTCTATCCACTGAGCCACCTAGCTGCCCCCTGAAATGTTTTTCTGAAGGCACTTTCTACACCAAGTATTTGGATCTTTGTCAAAGGCTAATAAATTGTTTAACTTAACCATGTTTTATATTTGTACTTGAAAGAGACAAAGGAATTCACATGTTGGAAAGGTCTTAATTTAACATTCATTAACATTGACATTGTTTTCTATTTTCATAGTCAGGGTTCAGTTGAATGAAATCTTGGGTGAATCAGCATGACTGACAGAGCTCTATATGACTGAAAAACTCCCCTGTGATAGTGCTAGTGACGTTCATTGGCCCTGAGATACTACGTCTGGTCTCTTTGCCTTCTTAGTCGGAGGCAATGTTCGTCTCAGCAGAACGACATTAGTCTCTAGAGAGGTATTTGTGATATTGTCTCATCAAATGGACAGACAGACTCATTATCTCTAGGTCTCATACTTGTGCCTGGCTTGCTCCATTCCCGCTGCTCCCATTGCTGCCTCCGCTGCTACCGCCTCCAACACCCTGTTTGTGCTGCTGGGATCCGGTCATCTCAGCCATCCTCCTTTCCATCTGCTCCAGCCTTTCCAGGATGGACATCCTGAACTGGTTATCTAGGACAAAACAAGATAAAGTATGAGGTTATGTCCCTGAAGAACAGATGCTACCAAGTGACCCTATTCATGAACGTTAAGGTTTTATGAGAGATTGCCATCAAAAAACTCTAAAATTTGCTCTATGTTTTTCCCTTGCCCAATGTTGTGGTCAGACTTCCTGTCCATATGTTGTTATCCATAGACCCCAGAACAGTTCTTAGCTAAAGGGGAGTTCACTGCCATGAACTGTCTTTTGTGAGAATTCTGGTCAGCTAATTTGTAGGCTGCCTAATCACTCCCCGAGCTGTTTCCATTGAAGACTGAGGTATTCAGAATGACATGGCAAACGAGCCTTTGGCGGATGAGAGGAAAAGTAATGTAACGTAACACATCTAGAAGACGAGGTAATAATCCTGACAAGAAGTAGCAGAGACTGGAGAGTCATTTTTTATCTGAACAAACTGAGCTTTATCTCTTCCCCATGGTTCTGACTCCAGGGCTGGGCCATCTGGGGAGATGGGCGACCATGAAAAATACTTTCATAGAGACTGGAGAATTAACTCCCTAAGCCCTTTGAGTTCTTCCTATGCATAACCCGGCTCTTATGGAGACAAGTTTTGCTTTTTGTCTAAGAAACCAGCAGAGCCTCCTGATTCTTTGAGGTGGACTTTGGGCCTCTGATGTGTGTGTCTGTGAGGGCGAAATACTGAAAGCAGCCTTGCCCAGGAGAAGCCCTTGTTTAACTCGTCTATTAAAGTCTTTAGCATCTACACGTAGGACATGACATGGAATTTGGCCCTCAGAAGTATGTCCACATTTCTTTTTTAAAAATCTTCGTAATTTCATTGTTGTAGGAACTCCTGGATGAGGAAACTCTCTCTAGCAATGCAAACTGACCACTTTGATCTTAGAGAGTTGCTTGGGGACATGGAGAGGTTAGTTGACTTGTTCCAGCCAATATGTCAGAAGTAGAACTTAACTCCCGGGCTATCTGGGCTTCTACATTATGCCCACTGCTTCTCTCACATTTCATAGCAGAGGCACAGAGCTTCAGTCAACACTATAACAATAATAGTAATGATAATAATAATAATAGCGAGATTTATGTAGCACTTTAAGGTTTACAAAGCATTTTACAAATATTCCATTTTATATTCACAGCAACCCTGGGAAGTCGTGCTATTATTGTCCCATTTTACAGATGAGGAAACTGAGGCAGACAGAGGTGAAGTGACTTGCCCAAGGTCACACCACTAATAAGTTTCTGAGGCCAGATGCCAGAGTATTAAAGGAATAATAACAGCTAATTTTCCCTCATTAAAGAATTGAAAAAAGCCCCCATTCATGAGTATGCTAACACGTCTTCCAGCTTGGTCATAAGCCTGTCTTCTTTGAGCCATTTCTAATGTGTAATTTGGTCGGAGTGGTATTGGAGGATTTTTATCCTCTTCAGACAAGAGATCTATGGACATTTTTTTTAGAACAGATCTTTCTCCAAACGGCAGGTGATTTGTATTGTTTAGTTGGAATAATCAAGCTATCCCTGACAGGCATTTGACCTCTTCCCTGAGCTCTTCATTTGGCCTCATCTACACCTACTTGCTGGACATTGCCACCTGGTTGCCCTGCCAACAGGTCAAATTCAATGTGTCCAAAAAGCAAACTTATCAACTTTCTTCTGAAACTGATTTCTACTCCCAATTTCCCCATTTCTTTTCATGACACTGCCATTCTCCCAGTCACCCAAGCTCACCATCTCACAGTTCTTCTTGATTCTTTCCTTTCACCCACTGCCCCCCCCAACAGTCAATCAATTGCCATTTTCTGCCTCCATGTCTTTGATTATGCTGTTGCTAGGGGCTGGGTCCTCCTGTTGGCATATTCTTCCCATTAAAAATAATTGATAAATACGAATATACATATAAACATAGCTTGAAGTTCTGCAAAGCTTTTTTTATACGTTATTCCATTTGATCCTCATGATAACCCTGTGAGATAGGTACTACAGGTATTATCCCATTTTACAAATGAGAAAACTGAGGCTCCAAGTGGTGAACTTATTTCTCAATGGTCACAGAGCTACTAAGTGTAAAAAGTGGGATTTGAACCCAATTCCCTCTGGATCCAAGTCCATTGCTCTTCCTACTATCTCAAGCTGCCTGTCATCATTCTTTCTAGGAATAGCTCAGGTGCCACCTTTTCCATGATACCACTTTTGATCCCCCTCAATTAGAGAGGATCTCTTCTGCTTTTAGCCTCTCAGGCCACTCTGTTTAGGATCATTTATTCCCTTGATCATTATGTTCTACTTTGTAAGTTCCTTGAGGGTGTGAATTATACCAGTTTTCATTATAATATCCCTGCTGTCTAGCACAGGGCCTTGTATTTAGTAGGTGCTTAATAGAAGTATTAGAGTAGAAAGAACTTTGAGAAAGAGGAGCTTTATTAGTTTTCTTCCTTCATTTTTCCATGAAGTCTTTCATGGTAATACATTTTAAAACTAATGGATAACGGGTCTTATGTCGCTGTTAGATGTGCCCATGTTATTTCACGTAATAATATCAGTTATTTCTATAGTGCTTTAAGGTTTACAAAGTACTTTTTTTTTTACATAATTCTGAGATTGTGAGAAAGGCAGTAGATATTTCATTATTTTCTCATCTCTTTGTAAAATGGTGCTGATAATACTTGCAGCGCCTACATCGTTATGATGAGGAGGTACTGTATGAGAGTGATAATCATTGTACTAATTTTGTAGGCCTTGCTGAGGCTCCATGAGGCTGAGGAACTTGCCCACTGTCAGACAATGTCAGAGCCAAGAGGGACCATGGGACAAAAAACAGGAGCTGCTGATAGAAATTATGGATAGGAAACAAAGACAAGGCTGGAATGTTCAAGCATTTCAAATTAATCAATCAATAACCATTTATTAATTATCTACTGTGTGCTAGGCACTTGTGCTAAGCACTAAGGATACAAAAAGAGGCAAAAGATAGTCCCTGCCCTCAAGGAGCTCACAATCTAATGGGGAACACAACAAGCAAACAAGTATATACAAATAAGCTACATCCAGGATAAATAGGAAATAATCAACAGAGGGAAGGCAGAGGAATTAAGAGGGGTTGGGGAAGGCTTCTTGTAGAAGATGAGATTTTGGTTGGAACTGAAAGGAAGCCAGGGAGGTCAGTAAGTGAAGATGAGGAGGGAGAGCATTTCAGACATAGGTCACAGCCAGAGACAATGCCTGGAGCTAAGAGACAGAGGGTCTATTTCATGAAATAGCAATAAGGCCAGTGCCACTGGATGGAGGAGTACATGTGAGGGAGTAAAACGTAAGAACATTGGAAAGGTGGGAGGGGCTAGGTTATGAAGGAATATGAATGCCAAACAGAAAATTTTGTATTTGATTCTGGAGGTGATAGGGAGCTTCTGGAGTTTATTGAATAATGGTGTGACATGGTGGGATCTGTGCTTTAGGAAAATCAGTTTAGTGGCTGGATGGAGGATGGATTGAATGGGGTAGAGACTTGAGGCAGGCTGACCCACCATCAGGCTATTGTAATAATGCAGGCCTGTTGTGATGAGTGCCAGTGTCAGGGTGGGGACAGTGTCAGAAGAGAGAAAGGAGATATTGCAAGGGTGAAATCAACAGGCCTCGGCAACAGATTAGATATGGCGGTGTGTGGATGTGAGAGAGAGGTAGTGAGGAGTCAAGAATGACTGAGGTTGTGAGCCTGAAGGACTGGCTGGATGGTGATGCCCTATGTCATGACAGGGAAGATGAGAGGGGCGAGGGTGTCAAGGGAAAGATAAAGAACACCACTTTGGACATGTTGCCTTAAAGATGTCTATTGGACATCTAGTTCTAGATGTCTGAAATACTGAAAGATCTGAGATGCTGAGACAGGAGGCAGCAGGTATCAGTTAAGTCAAACCACCACCAGCACTTTGACCATAATCAGGGGAAAACCTAGGACCCTGAATCCAAGAGCTTTGGAAATAGCCATGCCCCTCATCCCTCAGACGTGTCTCCAGCCCGGTCCCACAACCATCCTCCACTCAGCACTGGGGATACAAAGAAAGGCAAAAGCAGTTGCTGCCCTCAAGGAATTCACATTCTAATGGGGGACACAACATACAAACAATTATACATAACAAGATATGTAGATATGTACAGGGTAAGTTAGAGGGTCAGTGACTTGTCCAGGGTTATACAACAAATAAGTGTCCCTTAGATTATAAGCTCCTTGAGGACAGGGGCTGTCATCCCTAGCAATTAGCAAAGCAAAGGTACATAGTAGCTGCTTAATAAATGCTTATAATTGATCAATTGTCTGAGGGGGGATTCAAACTCAGGTTTTCCTGACTCCAAATCTAGCATTCAGTCTGCTACACCAAGCTGTCCCTTTTTGTTATCAGTAGGAGAGTGAATCAGCACAAAGACTGTAGAGGAGAGTTTTAATTTTCCAGCCAGGAATGGGAAAAACAATGCTAGGCTAGTGTGTGGCTTTTCTATGTTTTCTGTCAGAAACCATCTTGTTCTCACCAGAAAACTGAAGTTTACAAATGAGGGATTCTTCTAATCTGTCTTTGACCTCACCTTTCAGATAGATTTGAATTTAATTTTGCTTCTCAGTTATCCCTTATAATAAATTTATAAACTCTACCTCTTCGCAACAATGATAGGTAAAGAGTCCCATTTACCTCTGCCCCTGCCCTGCACTTGCTCTCGGAATGATTTTGCTTTTAAGCTAATATAACCATCCACTTATTTCTTAGGCAAGCCTGCAAATCTCACATCTGTACAATTAGAGTTTCAATAACGATTGCACTTGTTTCAGATCTCTCTGGACCCCTGCGGCTGAGGATTAATATTACATGAAATGAGAAGGGGGAAAAAAACCCAACAACAACAAAACATGGCTGAGCTGCGTGCCCAGAGAAAGCTGCCCCAGCCCTGGCCGGCACAGATTGCCTGTTGCAGCCATGTTTTCCTTGCCAGCCTTTGTTCTAGCTGG